CCCCAAAACCCCAAAACCCCAAAACCCCAAAACCCCAATCTCATGTCAGGAAATTGAGTTAATAGATTAAGACTATTTCCCAGAATCTTTAGTCTGTAGTACATCTGCCATAAAGTGACTAAGTACATAAAATAATTTCAAGAAGATTAATAAGTTAATTAAATGATGTTTTCCAAAGGAAACAACCCTCTGTAGATATCAAAAAGCTTCTTACTTCTCAGATGCATTTATAGGAACACTTTTCTTTTTCTTCAGAGGTCTCTGGCATCTCTCCACCTTAAATATTGAAGGAATACCTGCGGGTACCTTTTTAGAGGGTTTCTTTGGCTTCGGTTTGTCCTTTACCTTCTTCTTGACTACTTTGGGTTCCTTCTTTTCTTTCTCTTTTTCTTTCCCTTTTTCCTTCTCTTTTTCTTTCTCTTTGTCCTTTTTCTTCTCTTCCTTTACCTTAGGCTTTGTCTCTTTCCGCTTTGCTTTATTCTCTCTCTTTTTGGCTTCTTTAGGATTCGCAGTAGGAGCCTTTTTGGATTTGGCCTCTTCTTCGTTGACTATTTTAGGTTCATCTCCAGCAATGTTTAGTACTATCTTGTTGCTCTTCGGCCGCCCTCTTTTGCGCTCCTTTTTCTTAAATTTAGCCTTTTCAAGAAACTTGACTTCTAAATTTATTTGTATGAGAAATGTGACTATTAGAAACTTTAGTGAAGTGATAGTGTGATATGTTTACGAACCTGAGCAAAGCTGGTCAAAATCAATATCAATGTTGTTATCATCATCGGTAGAGGTAGATAGCTCAACTGCATTGAAGCTTGAATCTATGTCAACTAGTTCTTCAAGGCTAAAATTAGAAGCATTCTCATTATTTTGGGTAATCAGCATTTTGACTCATTTCCTGAGCTTCTCAATCTTAGTCATCTTGCCTTTCCACTTTTGTGAGAGGTTTATTTTATCCCCTGCTACTGAGTGAATATCAAAGATATCTTTTATGCTGTCTATTACACGTTTATTGACTTGTTTTTGGGGAACAATTGTCACTTCCAAGCAATATGGCTTATTTCTCCACCTTTTCGACTGATGAATTCTGAGCTTCAAGAGGGAATGGCGACTTGGCTTCGGAATCTTGGTTCTGACCCTATCATGGAATGATTTAAGTGTATGAAAAAGCAAATGGAAATGGGCGAGGTAAAATTTTTGGGAAGACACATCACATGGAAATGAAACAATGCTAGTAAACTTACTTACATTTTCTTTACTCTTGACTTCTTCTACCTTAAAGCAGGTGAATTCGCTAATCACTCTTCAAGAGTTGAGTTTTTGTGTATATGGACCCACTATGAATCCAACATAAGGCTGATTTTTATCTTTTGAATACATCATTTGATGATTATGCTGATTTGCGATATCCATTCATGAGGGATTTGTCTCGAATATTGGATGGCTGTGATACCATGAGCAAACAATTTGATTCCTGCTTTCAATCAATCTCGCGGTTGCTTGAAGTGATTCAGGATCCATTTCCACACTTTTAGTCCTATCATAGCATACATCTTCAATAGCTTTAGTAGGATAAGCATCGTGTATATATAGGGCTTTATTTACCGCTCTTGTGTCTGAATTCTTGACCTCCTCAAAAGCCTATTATTTCATTGCTAAATAAGTGAGCATGTATGTTCATTAAAAGGAGAGCTTGGAAGCTGACAAAAATAAGATTAGGTTGTTCTCCTTCCTCGAATTCTCAACATTTAATTAGCCTAAACTCCCTCTCATCGCTATTTTCTTGAATATTAAACCCGCTCTCTAGTATATTTGAGAAACTTTGCTTGCGAATATTTCTCTGAGATCTTCTTGGAGCAAAATTGTCATCATCGAACTTCATCTGAAACTCATGGCTTTCCCCAAGATTTGGTGAGCTAGCCATAGGTTGCCAGTTACCGGAATCTCCATTTCTTTTGTCCAAATACCCACTATCATCGAAATATTCCTTGTCTTCTTCTATTAAGATCCTGGGAACAATATTAGGATGCTCTGAAGGAGCCGATTCTGAATCTGGCACTTCTTGCTGTGAGTCGTTATGATGACCATTACCCATTCCGAGGAGGTCAATCTCGTTGGATTGAAATCCATTCATTTTCATATCATCTACAATATTTTCACAGGGAGTTAGGTCATGATCATGAAGGTCCTCTTCTTCTCCCTCATCTTCTATGTCTTGTGCTTCATTTATAATCTCTTTTGAAATATCATTACTCCTGTCAGAGCCGAGTTGCCTTCCTTCTTTTGCACTGGAAAGGTTAGGCTTCTGTAATTCTATATTCTGTGGTGACCCTGGTAAAAATTCTGAAGCTAGGTGGCCATCAGACATATTTATATCCATTGAATAATTTTCATTATTTAAAAAGAGCCTCGGGGTTTTGGGGTTTTGGGGTTTTGGGGTTTTGGGG